GCTAGGAAATGATAATGGTTACTTTGAGAGTTACAGGGCTTTTTCAGTACCTGTATGCCTACAGCAAATTTTTGGTGTGTCTTCTACATTTTGTAATAGATGTTTTTAAGCAAATTACCATATTTAATAAGCCAAGTAGTCTACTAACTGTAACCAGTGAACAGTGTGAAAGAGAACAATGAGGTATCAGCGGGTTTCCAACTATAGGGGAAGTCGGAGACACCCAGGGGTGGGAGCTTTACTGTTAATTGCAGCGTGACCACGTTTGCTTGAAAGCCTTAACACACCTTAGCATCCTGGAGTGTCCTCGTGATCTATCCTAAGGAATCTCCCTCGTTTCTTTTTGTGGCATAGATGGCTGTATGGGAAAAAAAAACCCAAAAAGTCACCACTCCTGAAAATGCTCCTCGGCTGTTTGATCTGGTGAAAGTAGAGGACAAGAAGTTCCTCCTGGCTTTTTACTTTGCATTACGTGATACCCTCGTCGTTAATAACCTGGAAGAAGCTATCAGAATAGCGTTCCAGAAGGATAAAAGATGGAGGGTGGTAACGCTGCAAGGACAGATCATCGAACAGTCGGGTACTGAAGAGCAGACCTAGGGCGGCCTCGTAAGTGCGCGGTAGGGGGTACGTAGGGACCGCTGGGCTGCTAACCTCTTGTCTCTTTTACCCCAGGAACAATGACAGGTGGTGGGAATAAAGTAATAAAGGGCAGGATGGGCTCCTCGATCACAACGGACGTTTCGGAAAAAGAGGTTAGTAAATTAAAGGTGGAGTTTGGCCAAAGCTCCTAAAGTTTTGGCAGTTCACGTGCGCGTGTGCCATGTCCTACATCGGCACGGGGGGCTAACAGTCGGTGATGCAAGACACCTCCAGAGTGGTTTACGGAGCTGCAGCCCACAAGGTCAGCGGAGGTTGTATTGCTCCCAGCCCAGCCCCCGTGGGCCTGTCAGTTTTTAGTCTCGTGGCGCTGCCTTTGATACCCTGGAGACGGAAGGGGGATGAGAAGGTGGAAGATGCTGATCATGGGGAACCACTGAGCTGCAGAGCAGTGCGCACCCCTGAGCAGCAAAAGCAGGTTTGCCCCTCGTTTCGTGTCCTTGTAAGGTTTGTCACGGAGTGGCAGAGCTTTCCTTCAAATTTGTATTTCCAGATGCTTTGGAATATCAAGACACAGCTTGGGCTTTTTCCGGGATCCTTTTTGGGTTTAGTCTGTGGCTTTTAGCACGGACGTAGCCGGTGCCCCTTTTGCCCAGTGTCTGCGGATGACCTTGGCGCTGTGATGTCAGATCTCAGTCAATGCCTCCTCAAGAAGCTGAGCTCCCCCGTGTAACTGTCAAACGATGGCTCCTGACGTGGGTCCTCTCCCCACAGAAGGAACCTTCGCTCTTCAGGAAAGAGCTGTGAGCTCACACAAGGGTGGGGAATTTGCTTACTGCTAAGGACACAGAAACAGCAGTTAGTGGGGTTGGTTTTGGTGAAAACATTTTCAAATTGGACAACTTCAAAATCAAACTCATCTTCACGGTTCTCCCCCTCTGATTTCTCTGCTGGAAGAAATAACAGAGAGGTTAAAATATGCACCTGTTTTTCTCTCATCCCTCTTCGTATTTCCACCTTCACTCAGCTTGGAAAATAGGATTGCGTTAGCCCAGAAAAGATAAAATTCAGCAAAGCCTGAGATGTGACAAACAACTGGGTCAAGCCTGTCCGGGTAGTGCTGTATCTAAGGAAGGAGCTAGCCTCCTGGACAGAGCGTTACTGCCCTGGCCTTGCGAAGGCCCCATCAGCACAGAAGGCAGCTCACCTGTAGATCTTGCTAGTTAAGGCACTTTGCTGTTTCCTGCCTTCACACTTCAGATCTGTCGGTTGTTTCTTCTCCCCAAGAGACGAGCTCAGGCGCGGTTTTCTGCGCGGCCCACGGGAGATGCTATGACACTCCATACAGATCAGCAGCTGCCACGGAATTCCTCCGTTGCCAAGAGTTAGTTAGCTCTGTACCGCTCTAGTGCAGTGGACGGCTCCGGGCAGAACGAGGGGAGTCCTGTCCACCCGTTAGCTCTCAGAATGTAAGAACAGAAGACAGGCTGGGAGCTGAGACGTGTCCTCGTTCCGTCTGCTCTTGCGGGTGATCGGTCAGACTTGGTCACTTGGCCAGCAGCTGCACGCAGCAGCTTCTCTTCCTAACGAGATCCCCACGAAACCCAACGAACATCAAAACTCCAGTAAGAGCTGCTCCTAGCTTCTGCGTGTGTGTTCTTTGGGTCTGGCCTTCCCTACTCCCACTTCAGCCCTTCAGGCTTACTCTAGTTTTACTTCCCCCAGTCTTCCACCACGAGCCATTTTGACAGGGATTCTTCAGCTTACTTTTCCCTACCTTCGCTCCTTTGTTTTTCACTGCTGATCTCAGCAGTCCGCCTCCATTCCTGCAGCAAAACTCCAAGTTTTCATTCTGCTCCCGGGTATTTTAAGAGATGCTAGACCGTCGCGCGCACGGACAGGCCTCGCTTTGTTTCGTAGCGGTGACGCCAGGCGCGCGGTCCTATCCCGTTTTTGTGTAGGTCACTGAAATGGAAGTGCAACTGCAGAAGGATGCTAAGAGGGTGGTACAGTGTGGAGAAGAGAAATTACAGCTTGAAGAAACCATCAGAAAACTGCACCGAGAGGTTCGGGAGAGGAGGAATACTTTACAGAAGTATACGGCCAGTATCCAGGTGAGGAAGCTGGGGCAGCTGGGGGGATGACTCCTCGGCCTCAGCTTCACATTGTCCTTGTCACCTTTGCAGTGCAGGGGTTTAGCGCAGCTGTTTCTGGACAGGGGTAATGGGTTTAATTGAAATTGGGGAGAGTTAGATTGGACACCAGGAAGGAATTCTTCCCGGAGAGGGTGGGGAGCACTGGGACAGGTGCCCAGAGAAGCTGGGGATGCCCCATCCCTGGGAGTGTCCCAGGCCAGGCTGGATGAGGCTTGGAGCAACCTGGGCTGGTGGAAGGTATCCCTGCCCATAGCAGGGGGTGGGGTTGGGGGGGCTTTGAGGTCCCTTCCCACCCAAATCATCCTGTGATTCTTGCAGAGTTTATCTGAACAAGAAGTTAATCTAAAGACCCAAGTTGAGGAATTTGAAGCAAAGGTAATTGCTGTTGCTCCAGACAAAAATAAACAGAAGGAATTGGAGAAACTCCTTGATAGCTATAAAAAAGGTAAGTTTTGGGGAGAGGGGATTGTAGATCACACTGAAGTCACGTTCTTGAGTCGTACGGGGGTGGGCGGTTACGGCTTTGTCCTCACAGACTGCCGGTGTGGGACTGCATCTTGGTTTGGAACCTCCTTTCTTCTAAGGGGGCGAGAAAAGGTACTTCTAGGGGTTAGAGAGCAAAATTCCCTTTTTTGTGATTGCTCAAGGTCATGTTTCAGTCAAGCCAAGCTAAAGGTTAATTTTAGGGTTCCCTTGTCTATTTGGTTAAATTTTCTGGCTGTATTACATATGGATTACAGAGAAAAGCAGTTTAATTAGGGGTAGGAATTGTTGATGTGAAGGATAATGATACTGAAGTCAAGCAAAGGCTTCTGCCGTGCTCTCGCTGGCCTGGTACATGACTCTGGAGCGAACAGCCCAGACTCCGCCTGCGCACTCTGTTTGCGGAAGGAGTTTCCTCGGAGAACTGGGATCAGGGTTTCTCTGAGGTAACTGGTACCTTAGAGAAGAAAACCTTGGCTGCTGCTTTGTGTTTCTTGCTCGGGGAATAACATGAGCCCAGTCAAACGTAATTCCCTTCCCCCACAGTCCTGCTTTCGGAGGGTATTTATTACAGACCTGAGCACACTTTGTGTGGGGTCTTGCTTGTTTTGCACCAGGAAGGGGAAGGTGCTGGGCAGCTGGATAAGCAAAAGCTTTTCAACTTACTCAGATGGTGTTGGGGAGTTTTAAGTGTAAGCTATGAACAAGGGGACTAGCCCTGGAGGTAGGGTGGGCTGTGGTGTTGGTCAGCACGTGTCATAACGACGCACTAGCACCAGCTACTGCGCATGTCAGTGGCCAGTCCTTACTCTTTAACCTCCTTGAGCATCCTCCCATTCAATAAATGAGCTGGGAGTAGCTTCTGACGTACCGACTGGGGTACTGAAGCACTCCAGATGTATCAGATAATGCGATTCAAATTTCTGGTGGTTTGCACCGAAAAAGCTTGGGTCGTGGAACAGTGTTGCAAAGATGCAGGTGGTGGTTTTCTTTTTGCCACAGTCAGAAAAACCCGACGTTTTGCACAGTACAAAGAAGGATATGTGCTTCTGGGAGGGGACTTTTTACAAGGGCCTGTAGCGACAGGACCCAGGGGTAACAGGTTTAAACTGAAAGTGGGGAAGTTTAGATTAGATATCAGGAAGAAGTTCTTCCCGCAGAGGGTGGGGAGCACTGGGACAGGTTGCCCAGAGAAGCTGTGGATGCCCCATCCCTGGGAGTGCCCAAGGCCAGGCTGGATGAGGCTTGGAGCAACCTGGTCTGGTGGAAGGTGTCCCTGCCCATGGCAGGGGGGTTGGAACTAGATGATCTTCAAGGTCCCTTCCAACCCAAACCTTTCTGTGATTCTATGATTCTCAGTATGTTAATACAGCAGAGCTTTTTACCACTTCAGTCCTGATGTGCTGCAGCGGGCAGTGTCCCAGGGGACAGTACAGCGACCTTAACTGGCTTTTGTTTGTTGACAGATTACAACTGCTTTGCTGAGAAAGCTGGTAAAATAGAAAATGAAGTCAAGCGATTACAGAACCTCATCATCGAGATCAACAGCCATAAACTTAAAGCACAGCAAGACAAACTCGACAAGATCAACAAAGACATAGATGGATGTAATTCCAGCATTACCAAAGCCCAGGTGGCGGTCAGGACTGCGGAGAGGTACCGTAGAGGCCGGCGTGTTCACGTTAACAGTTTTTGGCCGTGACGGTGTGTTGCTGCGACCTGTGTCTGGTTACAGCCCGGCCTTTGCGTGCGGGATTAGTTGGGCTAGAGGAACACTGGAGGAAGAAGGTCGTAACCCTTCTGTAACCTGACTTACCTCAAACTGAGACTGGCTCTTCATTACGAGCCACGATCTGTTAATCAGTGTGCTTCCCAGGCAAAGGATTAGTGACCTCGGTGGGACCTGACGGAGAGCCATGCCAGCCTTCGAAGCGCTGTGTCTGTCAGATCAGCGCCGCAGGATGCTGGCCTGTTTGGAGCAGTCTCTGTAGCTGCACAGCCAGTGATCTTAGACCGGGCAGTCTCCAACAGGCGGTTAGAAGTCACGCTTAGTGGGTATTTGCCCAGCGCTACGTTGCAGTATCTGGGGATGAAGGTTCTAAACAGCACTTCATTGCCGGGGAGTGGGGCAGTTCAGATCCAGAGGGAGTGATTTTATTAGGAGGTGTGTCAGAAAATAAAGTGGGATCTGTTTTTTATGTTAGCTTAAAGAGGAGGTAACGCAGACCTAGGCCAGATGTCTGAACTGTCCGTGACAGAACACACGTCACTGATGAGGCCCCTGCTGTCAGGCTGAGGAAGCCAGCGGTGCTCTCCTCGGCGTTTCAGGAGTGTGAGCTCTTAGCAACAGCGCTTCCTCTGTGGCCGTCAGTAGCTACGGATGGATCGTTACAGCAAGGTAGTGTTTCTCGTGGTCTTATGTCCTATCTGCACTCAGGTGAGGTATGCAAAAATCTCTGTACCTCCTCAGGAACCAGAAGAAAATGGAAGAGGCTGTTCTTCGCACGGAGAAGGAAATGAAAGACAACGAGAAACAAACGAAAGACCTAATGAAAGAGATGACGAGGCTCGAGGGCAAAGCCACCGCGATTCTGAGTGAGTGCAAGCAAGCCGAAGTAAGTGTGACGTCACTGCTGCGCTTCTGCAGCCTGTGAAATATGTTTTGGTTAACCTGTCGTGTCGGGGCTGTCCAGCTGCTGTCCCTCAGCCTCCACCCTTACGCACGCTCCCCGCAGGCCCGGGAGGGGTCGCGTTGGCACCTTCAGTCACTAAGGGGGGAGCTGCCTGGCCCTTTAAGCCTCTGACTTGCCGCCGAGGTAGAAAGTATCTTTCTCAGTTGATTAACTCACCCTCCAAAAGTTAAAAAAGGGGAAGGAGAATTCTTTCTGGGCTCACACAGAACCAGTGACCTTCAAGGTCAGCATCGATTAGCGGGTGTTCAGATGCTGGGGGGGAATACTGGGCTCAACCAGTCCTAGGAAGGGGTCCTGTAATCTCAGGATGATGAGCTACATCCTTACTATATGCGAACTGTAGCCCTCTCTCCTGGCCTTCTGCCCGCTGAGCCGTACAGCTGCAGAGCGACATTCCCGCAATGGGCTGGGAATGCTGTAATATCTGGTTTAATGTTTACCTGGAAATACATCTTGGCCCTGTTTTCTGGAGCTGAGAAAAATGAAACCTGTTTTTCCTGAAGAAAATACAGTTTTAAAACACCTGTTTGAAAATAGGTTTTATCCAGTTCTGTGGGACTGCGGTGTCCCGTCTGGATTTACGTACAGGAGTGAAACAACCAGGACACCTGAGATTCTTCCAAATGCAGCCGTTGCTCTGAGGCTTGCTCTGAGACCGCCCTTTAGCCAAGAGCAGGGCTCGGGTCAGCCAGGCCTGGAAGGAAAGGGCAGCCTGTTTCCAGTCAGCCCCAGCTGGGGACCCGGCTCCTGTCAGTACGGGAGGGTGTGCTTGTTTTCCTCTGCGCGGGGCAGCAAAAACCCATCTGAGAAGGCGGCAGCGTCGCCGTAGGCACAGACTGACGCGCGGTTTCGGTCGCTCCTGCAGGAAGAGCTGCCGGCGGTTCGGGAGGAGCATCGCAGTTTAGTCCAGGAGATGAAAACTCTTCAGGATGAGGAATATGCCCTTCGGAAGGAAGCTCTCGGCATCAAGCTGAATATGGAACAAGTTGAGAGCCGTGTTGCTGCACACCAGTCAAAGGTCAAATACTGGCAAAAAGAGGTAGGGAAATGGTTGAGGACCTAAAATTTGAACTAGAAGCTCTGAGCAGATTAACGTGTCGTTACAAACCAGATAACCGGGAGAAAAATCATGCAACTTTCACTTAGTGGTGTTTGTGCTCTAAACAAGGTGACCTTTCACACGTTCGCATCCAGGGGGGTGGACGAGGTACGAATGAAGTGGTTTAGCTCACGGCTCGTCAGGCCTGGCTTTGATTTAGGAGAGCGTGGTCGGATGAGTACAGCTGACACAACCCTACGGCTGAGTAATTCCGGGCAGCGAGGGCAGAAGGAAGCAGGCCCTGAGTGACAACCAGGAGTGTTTTGTGCCAGCACATCCTCTCCACACACTCCAGCATATTTTAAAGGGGCAGGTGCCCTCACGGGTGAGAGAGGAAAGAGTACGATGTTGGTAACTGAGTCACAATCTGTGCGTGGCTGTTCTTTACGGAAGGGCAAGACCTTTCCCCTGGAAGCATTTCACCTGGGACCTGCAGTCCGTTAGGTGCATCAAACTGCCGCTCCCTGAACTGTGCCAGTAGGAATTCCGTGGGGCCAGGAAGAAACTCCGCTCCCTGGAGATTGCTGCGTGAACCAGCTCCTCGTATGAACCGGAGCCAGGACTGGCTAACTGGGGGCTGCAAGCTTCTCCCATGAGCACCGGCAGCCTTCGCGCAGGGCTTATCCCGCGCCGTCGCAGCCGTTCTGTGCCTTGTCTTGCACTCGGTGCATTAAGTTCAGGTGTCTCCGATCAGGGTCTGGGAACAAACCTGCATGGAATCCTGACTTTTGCTGGCCCATGGGTTATCCGAGTGCAGAGTCAACAAGAGGCAGTGCTGGGGGTTGGTCTGACTTGGGTTTTCCTGGTTTGCAGCAACAGCAAAGGTGTGGGGCGTGCCCAGGGAGGCGTGCCTGGAGAAAAGGCCCGTTTGGGGCCTGGAGCATCTCCTTTCTCACTGCTGTTTAACCCTTCACTGGAGCGGGGCTGTGGGCCAGCAGCCCGGTGGTGCAGGGCGCCCTCTCTACCCCACTACTGTGAGGATAACGGGAGTGGCTATCCAGCAAGCCAGGCTGCTCTCAAGCCTCTGCGTCTTAACTGCGCGACACGCTAAGCACGAGGAACACGGGGAATGTTTGTTTTAGAAACATGTTCATCTTTCAAGATTTCTAGTGACTGGTTTTGAATTTCAGATCTCCAAGTTGTCACTGCACCCCATTGACGATAAACCACCCGAAGAGTTTCCGGTGCTGAGTCAGGAGGAGCTCGAGGCTATTGAGGACCCAGACGTCATCGTTAATCAAATAACTCTCCTGGAAGCCCAGCGCCACGAAATGAAACCCAACCTCAGCGCCATCGCGGAGTATAAGAAGAAGGTGAGTTTGATTTCTGTCGTGCGGTAGCAGGGTTCCTCTTTCCGGTCCGTGCAGTGGTACCCTACCCCCTCCCCGAGGTAAGCGCTGTGTGTACAGCCTTGGATCCGGGCGGAGTCGGTGTCAGCGCTCCTGAAGCCCGGGGGCAGCCTCCAGCTGGGCATCTCCCTCCGGGCGCCTGCCCGGGCGCACCCCGTGCTTGAAGAGCACGCAGGAGCGGCACAGGGAAGGCGCTCATCCCCGGGAGAGGCGGTCCCGTGCTTCCGTTCCCTTCTCTTGGGAGCTGAAACGGAACCCTCGAGTTCTCCCTTCCTCCTCTGCAGGCTATGCTGAGTAGCTCTCCTAGCCCGACTCCGTCAGCCTGCAGTCTCCCTGGCGTGACAGTCGGAGCGCGTCGCTGGCAGGTGAAGGCGGGTGTTCCTTTGGAGTCAGCCTCAGTCGCACTGGGCTGCTCAAGAGACGAAACACTTACCTGTGATTTTCAGACGGGACGGGTTTTCCGGGCCGGAGAGAAGCGGCAGAGGGATGAGAGAAAAGAGAGGGTTTGGTTTTACTCCTTCCTTTCCAGGCTGTTGGCCGCTCCGGGGAAAAGGCGTTTCCAAACAGTAGGGAAAAGGGTTTAAAACCCTGAGTGAGGAGGCGGCTGGTCTAGTGGGCCATCGGGTTTGTCTCCCCAGGAAGAGGCGTACCTGAAACGGGTGGCGGAACTGGACGACATTACCAGCGAGAGGAACAAGTTCCGACAGGCGCGTGAGGATCTCAGGAGACAGAGGCTAAATGAATTTATGGCCGGATTTAACGTCATCACGAATAAACTGAAGGAGAACTACCAGATGCTTACTTTGGGAGGGGACGCTGAACTGGAACTGGTGGATAGTCTGGATCCCTTCTCCGAGGGGATCGTGTTCAGGTTTGGCGCGATATTTGGTATTATTGCTGACTTTTTTACGTTGGTATTCCTTCTGTCCCTGCTTCTCAAGTACCTCCCCTCCCTCCCTCCTGGCAAGGGTTTGCGAGGAACTGACAGAGCCTCTCCTGGGCGTTACGTGTAGCCGGGGCAGCCCTCGGCTGGCGGGGCTGTGCTGAACCCAGACCCCAGCCCCTTGGCCGGGGAGGACCGAGTCCCCAGCAGCCCGGCCGTGGCTGCAGCCGAGCCCGTTTGCACCTCCCAGCAGTTCCCTCCTTTTCCCTGCGCCGCGTTTATTTTCATCTTCAACAGAAAGAAGGTACAAACTCGTCATTTCTTTCAGTGTTCGGCCTCCGAGGAAAAGCTGGAAGCAGATATTTAACCTGTCGGGAGGAGAGAAGACTCTCAGCTCCCTGGCTCTGGTTTTCGCTCTTCATCACTACAAGCCAACGCCGCTTTATTTTATGGACGAGATTGACGCCGCCCTTGACTTCAGAAACGTGTCCATCGTGGCACATTACATTTATGTAAGTACTTAGAGCTGGGTGTTTTCCTCTCCAAATGCTGATGGTTCCCGTTTCAAAAGCCCTCTCAAAGGTGCCGGAGTTCGCGGCAGGTACCACATTCCCCGGGATCCTTGCGGCTGCTGTGTCCTCTCTAGAACGCAGGCCCTGCCCCCAGGAACGGGCCGTAGTCAGCCGTGACAGCGCACGCGCGCGTTGCCAAGCAGGATGGCCCAGCTGCCTGAAACCGGGGAAGCCCCTGACGGGACGCTGTGGGATAAACAGGAGCTGGGGAAGCCGAGGGGGATCAGTCACCCAGGCGGGACGGGGTACACCATTCGGCTGCAGCGCAGACTAACACCTCCATCTCGGACCCCTGCCCCGCCCGCCGGCGGCAGGGACACACATTCACAGGCCTCGGCGCCTGCGGATCTGCGGAACGGCAGAACTCGTTACGGCGCCGCCTCCCTGCGTTCCTAAAACCCGGGCGTCGAGAACGCGCAGGAGCAGAGCTCCGTGAAAGGCCACGCGCTAATACGCTTCGCTTCTCTTCCAGGAGCAGGCAAAAACCGCGCAGTTTATCGTCATCTCCCTGCGAGAAAACATGTTTGAGATCGCAGACAGGTTGATCGGAATTTATAAGACTGACAACGTCTCAAAAAGTGTGACAGTCAACCCCAAAGCTCTTGCGGCTAAAGCTGGACTTGGCGCTGCTGTGTGTGCAACAGCTGAGAAGTAGCGTGGAGTGAGCTGCCGCTCTCTTTCTTACACCGGGTGCTCTTTTGTCTTTCACCTCCCACAGAAACCAACTCCAAACTGTTATTTTAACTACACGGCTCTAGGTTGTAACTATGAATAAATAAAATAAAGGTCCTATTTTTCAAATCGCATACCAAGTGGTGTTACTGCGCCACACGTCTGGTCTGAAAGGCCTGGGGTTCATGGCGCAGGGCAGAACGGCTTCTACCGGCCAGCAGCTGCTTGTGGAACCCCCATAACCGATGTCAGGTGGGGAGGGCCCAGGTCATGCCATAGGAACCTGGGGGGGGCTTTTCCCAAGTGTAGGGAGTGACAGGACAAGGGGTGATGGGTTTGAATGGAAAGAGGGAGATTGGGAAGAATTTCTTCCTGATGTCCAATCTCAGAGAGGGTGGGGAAGCACTGGGACAGGTTGCCCAGAGAAGCTGTGGATGCCCCATCCCTGGGAGTGTCCAAGGCCAGGCTGGATGAGGCTTGGAGCACCCTGGGCTGGTGGAAGGTGTCCCTGCCCGTGGCAGGGGGTGGGACTGGGGGCATTTAAGGTCCCTCCCACCCAAACTGTCCCATGACTATGAAACCGCAGTGCCGCACGTCACGAGCCTGATGATCCCCACTGAGAAAACCAGCCGGCAGCACGTTCCTGTGCCAGCCGCGCTCCGGCCCCGAGGCCGTGCCCAGCGCTGGTTTCCGTACGCAGCGTCTTGCAGTGCGGCTTCAGGCCAGTGTTCAGGCATGATCAGCCAGGAACAAATGGAACAGTACGGAGAGGAGGAAGCAGGACCTGTGTGGCGAGGCAGAAGGGAAAGCGGCAGCAGGGCAGGGCCGGGTGAGCACAGTAACTGCTGACCCCACGCTGCGACTGAGACTTAAAATCTCTGCGGAGGTGCAAAAGGCGAAGTCGCAGGGCAGGATGATTAATCCCTTGGATCTCGAGTAGGGGAAGGACGCGTTATTTTCATCCGCAGGGGCTGTCCCTGTGCGAGCACTGCTGTGATCACACTGCCAGGTACCTGGGAACCCCAAACTCTGAACCTCTCTAAAAACAAACCGACCTTCCTAAAAAGCCACGTGCAGTGAGAATGACACCTCAAAAGGCGAGGAGCCCCCCACCCTGGGTTTGGCAGGGCACCAACCCCCCTCCCACCTCAAAATGCACCAGGAAAAGCTGCCTCTGTTCCCGGCCTCGTGCCCAGCAGAGGCGACACGGAGCAGGGCTGACGCTCAGCTCTGACCCTGCAGAGCGCGGGGGGCGAGAGGAAGCTGCTTACCGCAGGTGCCCCTGCTCCAGTCGCCGCGACAGAAAAACCAGCGCAACCGGCAGTCACAGGCAACGTGAAAGACCAGGAACCCCCTCCCCGACCCACCTCGTGCCCTGCCCCATCACAGAATCTTCCTGAAGTTCACGCTGCACAAACCGGGTCGCCGGGAAGGAAAGGAAGCGGCTGTCTCAGAGCACAGCCGGACACCCCCATCGGGGAGCCTCCCCGCTCCGCCTCCTCTCGCCCGTCCTCCAGCCCCGTGTGCCAGCGCCGTCCGGGACGACCCAAGAGCGAGGTGTTAGCCAATCCTACTGTAAGAATACATTTTATTTGTATGCCAGCTTATCAAAATATGTAACACGTTAGAAGTACGAGTAGTAAACATGCCCGTCAGGGGCAAAGGCCCGTTGTAACCTCCCGCAGTGCTGACGCATAAACCCGCGTTGTAAACTCTCCAGTTTGTCCAGAGAAGAACAGGAGGGTGGGCAGAGACAGCACCAGGTCCGGGGAGAGCGAAATGCCAGGCGCCAGCCGCCCGGCTGTCACTGGAACCGTTTCGCAGCCCGAGCCGCCGTACTCCCGGGGTCTGCCACTGTAACTACAAGACCTGGGGAGCAGCTACAACCGCTCCACCCGCAGAGGCAGGGGCCGACCCACCGCTGGCTCCTTCCTCCGCCGAAGCCGGAGCCCCCCAGGGCCTCGACACCGCCATGAGCGTCTTTACGGGGGCTCAAGGCACGTACCAGTGTGGCACCCGAGGGTGGACCTCGCGCTCAGCTCCGGCTGGACCGGTGTCTGCCCCGCACACAGGTTAAGGCCCAGGGCTGAAGCGTAACCTCCGCTCGTCACCTAAGCACGCACCAGCCACGGGGTGCCGCTACGTGAGAACGGACTGGTGTTCCACGGAGTCAAACATCGCGGGACACAGCCAATGCTCGGTCCTTCAGCGAGCCGTGAGCTCACCTGTGTTCCGCTCCAACCGCAACGCTTCCAGGCTGCCCTGCTACGTATTGCCATCAGGCTGCTGAAGCTTTCGCCGGGATTTCACTGCCGAGCGCAGTCCGGGCTGGACCGTCTCCTCAGACGCAGCGACGGGGGTTGGTGATGGCTTGACTGCGGAATAAAATGCTACCGTGTCCCTGCACCAATGTAGAACTCTGTGATTTGGGCTGAAAAGCTGGATGTAGGTTTACATTCCCCGTCAAGCTGCTGCAGAGCTCTCGACAACCCCTGACGGCCTTCTAGCGCCGACTTCCGCGGGAGCTTTACCGCAGCACGTAGCCGTTTTCACTACATATCGCAGGATTTAGCAAAAAGGGCGCGCTGCAGTAAGCAGCGACAGCTCCCTGCCCCACGGAGCAAACTCCGGGCACTGAAACCGCAGGCGGTATTTCACCTGCAGATGCTGCCCAGCAACGTGGAAAAAACCACTTGAAAGGCACAAAGTTATTAAAAAAACCAGATGGAATCGTGTCACCCACTCGTAACCAAGAGCAAACGAAATGAAACCCAGGGCCACAAACACACCCCTGTGGCCCTCAATCTCTATCCGTTAAAATACATTCGGAGCGAGGTCAGTAAAACCCAAAATCGGGGGTTTATGCCCCCCCCCGAGCTAAAGTCCGACTGACCCAGCCAGGACTACCCTGTTTGCAGTCTGAGGGGGCTTCTTAACCTTGAACTGCTTTAATTAAAACAACTTTAAAATTCTGTTACCAAAGAAAAAAAAAAGAGGGACAGTAGATGCCCAAGGTGTTGTACAAACGGGATTTTGGCTTACAGCCTGCGAGCTGACAGTCGGTTTCCGAGGCAGACGCCGTTTCCGACTAGCTCCCAGATCCAACAGGCACCTACCGACCGCCCTGTGCGAGCAGAAAGGGAAGCGCTTCCTGTCGCACACCTCCTCGCTTACCCAACAGGAAAAACTGCAATACAGGAAAAGAAAGGAAACAGACCGGCTTCCCAGAAATCAAAAAGAATCCTGGGGCTTCTACACTAACCTGGAATCTAATTGCTGAAAGCGTCAAAACCAAAAAATTCTCCCTAAGAACTGGGTCAGCAGATGAAAGGAATGGCACAGCACGTCCCCCACACTCTGCAAGCAGGTGCAGAGATCTCGGTACGTGATGCGCAAGAGCTCCGAGACACAAGCGGGAGGAGCTCCGATTGCAGCTGACGACACCGCCCTGGGGACGGCCAACACCGTTACCGCTACCCCTACGGCGAGGAGCAGGACCGCCACGGGATTTACAGCCCGGAGGAGCTCTTTAGCTTCTCCGCTCTTTCTGCTGCCTTTGCTGCGAAACTTCCTCTTCAGGGTCAGTTTTATTTTGGGGACGAGGATGTTGTTGATCTGACCGATCTCGGTTCTTGACCACACGTCTCTCAGCAGGTGCCCAACCCTCGGGTAAACGTCCACGGGCTCAACGGACGGCAGAGGCTTCTGTTTCAAAGCTTTGATACGCTGATGCATATCGTCCACGTTCTCAAGAAAAATAAGCGGGGACTCTTCTTTTTGAATAGATGTATTCAGGGACATCAATTCCAGCTGCTCTTCCCTGATTTTTTCCAGCTTCTCGATGAGAGGCTGATACTGTTCCAAGATGTAGGTGTTCAGCTCGTCCAGCGCAGTCAGCAGAGCTTGTTTTTTGTGCTCCAAGGTATCGCCAAGTTTCTTAAAATACTGTACCACCGCTTTTTTATCATCCTGAACAATGCTTTCACACTGGGACTTCTGCTCCTTCAGCTTTTCAAGGAGCAAACAGACGTCAGTCCAGTGTTTGTCAGTCAGCTGCTCGAGGAGTTTTCCAGAAGTCTCCTTCTCTTTGGCGTAGGCGCTCCAGAGGTCGTCTATCGGGTGACCGTTGTGTCGGCCGATCGTGAGGCAGTGGCCGCACACCAGTTTCCTATCCCGAATGCAGTAAACGTTGAGCGGTTGCCCGTGGTGCTCGGGGCAGGTCGCGACGTCAGCGTGATCCTCCTGCCGGTATTTTTCAATAACAGCTTTCAGTGCTAAGTTGACGGGGAGCAATTCAGTACCAGCAGCAGGACTTTCCACGACGCTTCTGCAGTTTGGACACTTGAGAGGAAGTCGCAGGGGTCTCCAGATGGAAAAGTTGTTTGACACCTGGATAACACCTTCCAAACAACTCCTGCAGAACGTATGGGAACAGGGCAAAACCCGTGGATCTTCGAATATGCTATAGCAAATGGAACACGTTAATTCTTCCTCTAAGTGATGCATGTCCTACAAAGAACAACAACAAGAAAACACGGTTTAATCTTCCTGCAATCAATGCATTTTATACCATTTTATTAACCTAAGTGCCTTGACATGACACATAATGACCAGCAACCCAACCCACGCCGGCAGTTCACCGCTAAGGGGGAAAAACCCAAAGAAAGAATCAAGTGAGCAAAGGCTGGGAGAGTTGGGGTGTTCAGCCTGGAGAAGGGAAGGCCCCGGGGAGACCTTATTGCAGCCTTCCAGTACCTGAATGGGCTACAAGGAAGCTGGGGGCGACTTTTTACAAGGGCAGGGAGTGACAGAACAAGGGGTAACGGGTTTAAATTGGAAGTGGGGAGGCTTAGATTGGATATCAGGAAGGAATTCTTCCCGCAGAGGGTGGGGAGCAACCTGGTCTAGTGGAAGGTGTCCCTGCCCATGGCAGGGGGGTTGGAACTAGATGGTCTTTAAGGTCCCTTCCAACCCAAACCATTCTGTGATTCTATGATTTCAGCAATTATGACCTGCTCATGCGATTTGAGGAACCGGATGGTGTTCAACTATATCCGACTTGGGCCTTAATAAGCTAGGAAAAGCAGCAATCTGCTATGATGTTGTTTTTTACAGTGGGAAAGAGAAAAGACAAAAAAGTTTGAACTAAAGTTGCTAAATAAGCTAAGAATTCTGAAAACTTTTTCCCACTATAACGTTTTCAACAGAACAGGAAGCAGAGACACTTCCCCTAACTCTTCTCAAACGTTACTGTTGTAGAATAAACCGTTATTAGAGCATCAGGCAGCCTGTACATCCACCACCACTCACAGTAACTGGACTCATGATCTTATTCCTGCGTTACTTTAAGCACAAAACTAAAAAACTAACTTCCATTTTTCATCCTTTGTAATGCTGCCTTGGTTTTCTTTGCCACCTTAGTGAAATCACACCGTAAAGCCACACATAACAACAACTCGAACACCAGTTTCCATAATAAAGCAGAATTCTCATCTTGGTTCTGTTAAAAAAATGGGGAAAACAGTACGAACT